TTTTTTTTTTTTGCTCATACAGTTTAAGAATTTTGGTGTTAAGGATGTGTATAATTTTAAATTATTTAAATTATTATAATTTTCATCCAAATTCTACATATCACCTGTTATTCAGTCCGGCCGATTTTTTATACTATTGGCTATTATATTCTAGTTACCAAACATTCCAATATTATTATCAACATGATCTCTAAAACCAAAATCTAACAAAAAAAAAATTAAATGGTGAATATCAAAAAGTTGTATTTAAAATTTTATTATTCATTATCTCATCGAATACAATTTATAACTAACACAACACATATATTATTATTATTATTATTACTATTGATATAAACCACTATTTTTCTACATTTTTGTACTTAAAATTCTTTTGATGGCTTTGTTATTTATCATGATTTTATTTTTGTTTTATATAAATTATCGATGTGCAATTTTTATATTATGTATTTTCTAACTTGAAATTTTTTATTCATATATATATTCCACAGTAGTTAGGCTTATGAATTCAATAATGTTATAGACTATATTATATTCCTATTTAGTGAAAAAAATCTACATAGTTATAAGTTATATTTCTTGAATTACATAACATTCCAATAACAAACTATGTACCTATAATTTTTATCAATGGTTGGAAAGAGCTGAAGCTTTTATAATTTGTTAATAGTTTATTTCAAAAATGAATACTGTTGTAAAAACTATTCTTACCCCTACTAATAATTGAAATTTGTATTTAATTTAAACTTTGAACCTTCTACAGAGTWGTTTTTTTCAGATATAATTCTTTACATGAATCATTTTAATTATTTATTAAAAAATTCAACCTATGATGACACAAATACCWACATACAGTAAAGCGTGCAGTTTGCTATGTCAAATAAAAGTAATATTAAAATGTAAGATCCTGTGCTCTATTCTGACCATTTAATCGAAAATTGTATTATTCTAGTCCTAAATACTTTAAAACTAACTGTGTTTATTATCTAAGATTATATTACATTGTTGTACTTAAGTAAGCTTTACCAATACAATCGTTTGAAGTAAAAATAAATAAATAAAAACGCTGTTTATTATGCTGCAAGACTACATGTTTTACTTTTCACTATTTGTATTCTTATTCCTTATTTATATCCAAATTAATTGAATTCCTTGCCTAAGTATATTTATTTTAAATAAAATATATTACGTACATCTCAAAACTAATGAGTAATGAATAATGATCATTAGCAGGTATTGGTGTGGCATTTTTATTATGAGTATTCAAAATAAATCTAATTCATACCTATAAATTCCAACTATAAACAGGCACAAGATTCAAGAGATGTCACCTTTAAATACTCATTAGTGTACTAAATTATTTACTATATGCATAAGACACCTGCTGTTATTAGCAATGTTGGGTAGTAGTGTAACGGGCATTCTATGGTTATTGGTTGTGCCAAACGGTAATCCAATTACTCAATTAGGTGCCTACTCTAAAATGCTTCTATAACGCGATACAGCCCGCAAAGACCTAATCATTTATTTTCTATGATACGACTTATTGGTTGAAGTATGGCTTTTGGGTGGAGAAAAAATCCCGAAAAAATTACTTTCAACCGACTTATTAGTATTGTATCAAAAAAAAATCTAAATTTTTCTCTGTAGTTCGTACTTATTTTTTTATGGGTTTTACTGTCCACTATCGTCYGTTGGAATGCGCGAGAATGATCGATCTTTGATTACCGATGGGCATCACTGCAATACTGCTAATTGCCAATTACTGCAACAATAAGTCGCTTATTGCTTAATAGTAATTTTGGTCACTATCAGAGCCGTATTTAACGGGGCGGCGAGTTTTTGAGGATCGACATAAAATAAAAAATTAAGGGTGCCATATTTTAATTTACCCCGGGACGACAACATAGCTTAACGCGGCACTGGCCACAATCGCACTAGTGTAACAACATATATTTACTACAGAATAAATTATTATCATGACTTAATACTAAATAGATCTATTTAGTCATGATTATTATTATATTTTTATAATTTATGATACATTATTATTCTGTGAATTTACTACATATGTATATCTATTATGTAAATTTAGTGTTTACAGTATTTGGTTACATTGTTACGGTTTTAGTAGTTTGGGATTCTTTCCAATAAT